GGGGAACCCCTCCCCACTAATCAATCAATCAATCAATTAATCAAAAAAAAAAAAGAAAAAAGAAAGAAATAAAAAACGAATGAATCTGGCGCTACATCATGGGAATGTACACTGCCATACTGGTTTTCGTGTGTGTGTGTGTGTGTGTGTGTGTGTGGGTGGGTGGGTGTGGGTGTGTGTGTGTGTGTGTGTGTGTGTGTGTGTGCACGCGCGTGTGCGGGAGCTGCGCGGATAGCTGCACGGAGAGCTGCGCGGGGAGCTGTGCAGGAGAGAGAGAGAGAGAGAGAGAGAGAGAGGTGCGCACGCCGTGGAGTGGAGGGAGGACCACTCCCCCACCAACCAACCAATCAATCAATCAATCAGTCAATCAATCAACCAATCAATCAATCAATCAATCAATCAATCAATTAATAAAAAAAAAAACAATCAATCAATGAAACTTTTTTTTTCTATATATATATATATATATTTTTTGGTAGTCATCGAAATCCACCCCCCCGTTTTTGAAGTTTCTATGTTTTTTTTTTTGTGAGGTAGGGGACCCCCCCCCGACTTGAAACCCGTTCCCCGCCCCCCAAACCCCCTCCCCGATCGGCCGCGGCGTCGGCGGAAAAAACTCGGCCGGACCGGCCGCAGCCGGGGGGGTCCCGGCGTAGGCCGTCGGCCGCGGCCTGGGCCAAACCCGGTCGCGGCCAGCGTGCAACATAGACCTACTGGCTTTGTACTTGGCCAGTCTAAAAGTTCTCACACTAGGCAACTCGTGATTCAACACTTTCTTGTCCCAATCAAACTAGGGCTTGGCAACCTCGAGGTAGTACATGCCCAACAACATGTCAAAGGGCAACTCGTCGCTCACCAGGAATGATATCTTATGGTTTCTCTCTCCTCCTGGGTAGGAGAAGGTGCAGACTACATCTTTAACGTAGTCCTCCACCATCATGCGCTCTTTGCTGGCCAAAGTAGATGCTACCGGTCTACTGCACCCGGTCCTTCAGGCACACTCTGTCAACACAATCGCGACTTATGATGAAGTTTCGCGTGGAGCCAATGTCTACGAAGGTGCCGCACTTGCGACCACCCACATCGACTTCCACAACGAAGTGCTCCCCTCTACGACCTCTACTCAATGCCACCCAGGACTCACGAGGGTCCCTTGCCGACCACTCACCTTGAAGGTCCTTAAGGCCTCAGATACATCCACCGTACAGAGTATAGTTGGGTCCAGATGCATCTGTGGGGTGACTAAGGAGTCAATAGCTTTGGCCATCTCTTGAAATGGGGAGGGTACATCACCCACTTCAACGAGAGTAGACGCAGCTACAACTTCTACTGGCCCTAAGTGTTTCCCGAGCTGGAGCTCGTAGAGGCCCCAGACTGAGAAGAAGGAAACCCACCCTTAGGAGGGGTCTTCTGCGAGACCTTTGGGTTCTTTGACTTAAACTGGATATGGCCATACTCGCCGCAGTTTATGCAAGCACCCCTCGACCAACGGTCCCGCTACACATCTTGATCCAGACCTGCTCTAACCCAAGCTGCTATTTTGTTTGGGTCGGCGACCTGTCCCTGACTCCTTTGTTGACCGCCCTTCCCGCGGCCTACTGCCTTAGTCTTAACTATTGCGGCGAGGTTGCTACCCTTAGCACTCTCCTCGCCGTCTAACTTTTTCCCCCCCACAAGCTTAGAAACATCATCAATCTCAGTTCGATTCCCTTCGAAATCAACCATCATTAATCGATTACCCTTCTTCTGCCACTCGTGTGGAATCTTCTTCTTTCTTCCATCCGCAGAAGGGGTATGAGCACCACCCAGCGTAGCCTCTAAGTCTAGGGCCTTCTTGCTGAATGTCTCAAAGGTGTGATACTCTTTGCGAGCCTCGCTGGCTAACAAGTTCCTGATGTCCGTGGGAAGACATCTTAGGAACGTGGTCAACAAGACCTGTGGATTATACTCCACTCCAGGAACGACAATCAGACGCTCTACGGTTGTGGTCAACTCTCGCACCGACTTGTACTTTCTAGAGTCAAGCTTCAGGATCCCATCAGTGGCAATTTGTGCCTGCTGAGGGTTGTGCCAACGAGCCTCCACTAAGTCCATAAAGCTCTCCAAAGTGTGGGTCTGCGCCCAATCATTCATGTTCCTGCCGAACCCCTTGGAGGCTACTAATCCATTTAGCCAACGAGTTGTTGAGTTGATCCCTCTAAGCAGGATGCAACAATTATCACTTCCTCTTCTACCAACGTCCTCTTGGCCCTAACCCACATTAGAACTGTTCTCAACCACATGTCGAGAGCCTCATTCTTCTTGTCTCCTGAGAAGGTTGGAGGTGGTTTCAAGGGGGTCTTGGGATACCAGGGATATTGCTGTCCCGCTAGCGGGACAGGTGGCGACTTTGGTGTAGCACCAGTCGCTGAGCCAGAAGATGAAGAAGCAATAGTCTGAGGTAGAGCTGCTGCAAATGTACCACTTGGTGGTGGTCCGGACTGAGCGGCATAGGGGCTTGTCATCGCTGAGAATGGAAGCGATAGTAGAGCTGTTGGCCGGATCCGTGGCTTACGTAGTGCTTGCAGGATCTGGTCTAGAGTATCCTGCATGGCATCAATCTTACTATTTATGTACGCATGCATGGATAGGACACTTGCCTTAATGATCTTCCCTGTGTTGTTAAGGACACTGTCCTCTAATGCCTCTAACGCAGCCATATCTGCCACTCTGCCCTCTAGTCTGACACTTCTTTCTTTGATCTCTTTCTCTCTCTTAGTAGCCTGTCTAAGTTCCTCCTCTACCCTTAAGCGGATCCTCTCTACCTACTGGCCCTCCATCTGCTCCCTGAGACGATAAGGCGGCAGGCTGGACTGCACGCCCGCCATCTGACTGGCGTCGGCACTTGATATTGGAGACTGACTGCGAGCTGGTCAAATTGGACGGCATGGCCAAACCAGACGTTGCTGCAGAAGTTGCTGAATTAGTAGTCATTGTTACTCCTCCCACTGCTGCTGCTGCTGTTGCAACCTCAAGGCTACGGACCCTAGCTTCGGCCCTTAGTCTTCTCTCTTCTCCCAATTGCAGTGCCTGAAACACTCTAGGGATTCTAAGTGATGATATCCTTGTCAATCTCCTAGTGTGATCTTTACCTTCATCCCCGGTTGATCCACTCATCGGCTAGGCAAATGTTTTCTGCACTAGAGTCCTCTATGGGACCTACCGAAGCATGCATGTGACCGGATCTAAAAAATAAATAAAATAATTGTCCGGTGGGGTAACCTAGGCTACTTATCAAGCGGGCATCAACAACACCTACTCAAACATATACACATAGTCTAACTATATTCTGATTAGTCTGCATAGACGATTTGAGAAGAACCGACTATGATGGATCACAGTCCTATTCTAGTCCCTTTGTTAGGTGTCAGCAGTCTGTCAACCAACTATTCAAAATAAAAACCTAGACTAATGTGAGCAGATGTATGCACAACGGAAATTGTGGTGATGTTCGGTAGAATTCACAAATTGGAATCCCCTTCCCCTGTATCCAACGTACCTATGAGCATCTTCAAGCTGCGGTGCGTAAGGTGTGCAACCACAGCCCACCCCTGTGCCCAAGAAGTATGCTTATGACCAGCCTGCCCCTTTGTTTACCCTCGCGTGCAACGAGCTTTACTTCTGACTGACCTGGCTGATCAGGAGGGATTTAAGGAGAGCCCCCATCTCCTCAGGAATTGTTTAACGTCGCAAACACGACGACGATCACAGCCAGTGGACAGTTCAGACCCCAACCAGAAATGTTTATAGACAGTCTGGGAGCATCTCAATAGGACTGGTCAGTCCGCACACCCTTTCTATCAGCGCAGCAAAGAGCCTCAATGGACAAAGCAGCATGGCCTGCGTGTACTAATACCCATGGGTTGGCATGGTGACCGTGACCTGTGCTTCGACCAGAGCCCTTCAGAGCTTCAGAGGCACCGCCCTCTCCTGCCAGATGCGCCACCGGGAAGAATGTCGTCTCTCAAGATAGAGCGCACACGACTCCTCACCAAAGAGAGGACACTCAAGTTGGACTCACTTCCTCACGTTAAGAAGAGATTGAGAGGGTAAATAAGGAATGGGAACAATGTACCTGGAGATAGCTGCCCCCAACCACAGATTTCTCACCAATTGGGCTGACTTGCATTTCGATGATCGGTCAATAGCCTCGGTACCACCCACATCACAATGTAGTGCACCTCAGCCAAAATGCCACTTCAGCACACTCTCATCATCATGCATACACCTGCTGTCGCCACAGATCCCACGCTGTCGCCACAGCATTCCAACGGTCGGCCTCTCCACCTAGGCCCCGCTATCTCAAACCAGCATCATAGTATCCTTACTGCACATGAAGCATCATCAGCACACCAAGTAACAATGTCACCGGTGCCAGGTAAGCGGCGATCACCAACCAGCTCCGATACCAAATTGCAAGGAATATGAGTTGTGAACGATGTACAGAAAACCAGATTTGCAAAATCACACAGCTGAGAGTACAAAATGCACCGAGGAACCATCCATATAAAGCAACACAATGTAGTGAGCCAATGTTCAAACCCGTAGGCCACACCAACACAGAATCCGAAGTCGCTCTCTGCTGTCTGGCGCCCAGCGCCCAGTCTACTCTACTCAACTATCCCACTCTACAGCCGGTTCACGCAACAGGCACACTTTGACACTCGAAGACCAATGTACATGACTGCCGACACCGCAGCCAACCTCTCTTCATGCACCAGGTACGTATCTCGTCACCCTCACTCAGACCTTGATTACCCCACACAGCGCCTCCTTCCCTGAAGACACCTCATCGCCCGCTGTACCCCCTTGGCGACCAGCAGCCCGGCTATGGCTTCCTGCACCCCGCTGCCCTGCAGCGCCCCACCTCACCTCTCCCACTCCATCAGCGCCCTTGGCAGCAGCGCAGCATCATGCAAGAGCGCAGCAGGACTTCCACATTGCCTGCACCAGCCAGAATGCCTGGCCTGGGCTGCCTCACTTCCTTTATGGAAGTGGCTGCTGGATGCTGCGTGTGGCCTGGCTGGAAGCTTCCAGTAGCTTCCGGTTGGGCCTCAGACCCTGTGCCCAGGCCAAGACTTACAGTTGAGGGCCTGGGCCCTTTACAGTTGGGCGCGGCCTGAGTCTCCAGACTTCAGCTGGGCCCTTTACAGTTGGGCGCGGCCTGAGTCTCTGGACTCAGGACCCTTTACAGTTGGGCACGGTCTGAGTCTCCGGACTTGGGCTGTTAGCTGCATCTGCGCAGGGCGCCCACGTAGATGCGTCGGCTGTACTGCTTTTCCAAAGGCCGACGGCCTGCTTCTTAATGTATAGGCCCTGCTTTGTGTGTAGGTGCCCAGGCACAACTGTCGTGGCCTGGGCCAACTGTACGACGCAGCTTAGTGAGGCTGCGCGTTCACTCAACCAACTGACGCGCTGCAAGAGCCTGAATACCCACATATGGAAATGTCAAATTTTGGCCTGTGACGAATATTCAGGCCCGCCTTCACTTAGGGCGGGCACTTGGCTTGCTGGGGCCTTAGCCCAGAACATGCGATGTCTGATAGGGCCCCTTGAGGACTTCCTTTCGCTGTTTTCATTCTTTTCTCCGGTTCCGTTTGAGTTCAAGCAACCCACCCCTCTTCAGGTAGTATGGCAACCCTTAGTTAGAGACGTTTCTTTTGTGTACTGGCAGATATGAAAACAATGCATACATAAATGAGATACGCATACAACTGTGTCAATCATGTGATCCACACGTCAATCACATAATTCATAATCTGAACTCAATGTTGTGGCCTCCATGCAGGGCCACCTGTTTGCATCTCTTTTTCGTTTTTTCCTCCTTTATTTCTGTCTCTTCCGAACTTACGGCAACACTTCGAAGTTCGAGCTATCAGGCGTACCAACGAGAAAAGATCAATTCGCCGCCAACGACTCCACTGAGAAGACAGCCAACTACAAGAAGAAGTCTATCATTATTTTGTGTACGAAGTCCTTCGCGGATGGTAGCCATGCAGAATACCTGTGATGGGTTCAGTTGAAGGGCACACTCCTCATGCTCTCCCATGCTCTCCCTTGTGTGAGGGGCGAGTGTCTCTTCCAACTGGAGGTGGCAGGATGGACTCGCTATTTGAGTGGTCATATATCATATCTGGTGGTCATTTTTTGAGGGAGGTCATTGCTTGACCATCGCCATTTAGGAGACGTTCAAGACGTTCAACGGTCCAGAGTAAGGTCACACGGGTAAAGTAAAAGTCATATCCTACCGCTACCATGCTCACCCAACAAAATGCAAATCATTATAGCTCTACTTTAAGACACAGTCTAGATACAGCAATAATAGTCGCATGACTCGTGTGTTCTTTTTTTTTTTTTTTTTTGAAACACCACTCCAGGAGCATGGTCCCACTAGCAACGGGATAGGATAGAAACGAGTTTGAGGGACAGTTGAGTGACCCAAATCATGCCGGGCAGTACTCGTGATCCCACGAGTCAGTATTCTACACATATTACCCAAAAAAGTAAGATCTTTGTTCCCCTCCTCCTCTACTTGACACTGGGCATGCCCGTGCAAAGAAAGCTTCCCGCCAGAATCTTTTCAATCGGTTGGGGGTGTGGCCAACCCCAAAAGAGGGTGGGGTCGGCCATAGGCCCACTGCATAGAAGATTTTCAGTATTTTACTTGCTGCTGTGCAATTATCTCATTGGGTGGAGCCCTCCTTCAATCACGGAGTCTATGGAGGGTGTCAGCATCACTGCTGACAGAAGCCGAGTTTATTCCAGAAAATGTGGCAGTTACTTTGTTCACTTTTGTTGCAACCACCACCAAGAGATCATCTGTGATCTGATGGCTGGGAAGCACTCCGCCGTGATTTCTGGTGGCAGGTATCTGTTTCTTTTTCTTTTTTTTGCCTTTCTCCTGTTTTCTCAGCCCAGAAATTCTCAATGAACCTGTCAGCCCGCTGCCACTCAGTGTCACACTGGATCAGCCAAACTCCTATCCGACTGCTAATGGGACCATGCTCCAGGGGTGATAGGGGAGGACAGTAAAACAGTCTAGATACAGCAATAATAGTCGCATGACTCGTTTCTCAGCCCAGAAATTCTCAATGAACCTGTCAGCCCGCTGCCACTCAGTGTCACACTGGATCAGCCGAACTCCTATCCGACTGCTAATG